AATTCCTCCACTTGCCTTCCGCCCCCGCCCGCTGCCTGCCCTCCGAACCTCGGCCTCCTCAACGCTCTCAGCAGACGTTTCCACAATCCGCTCTACTTCACTATCATCCCTGGCCCCCCATACCCACCCCTCCGCTCTCACCTCGCTTCGACAGAGAGACAGTCGCATGCCCCCGACCCCTCGCTACCCTTGACCGTGACAGGGATGGTGTTCGCCTCCAAAGCTTCGGCTGCTTTCACGCTCTCCAAGAGCCTGGTTCCTAGACTGAGAATTGCGACTGAACCCTCCTTCGGGCTTGGAGCTTTGTTGCGAATGATGCGACCCTTGCCAATCGCAATCGCATGACCTCCTTCTGGCATCACATCATACTTGCCACCAAGCTTCTGATTAATAACGTCAAGACCCACCCCAACTCCACGAGGGTAGCGCACGACAGAGGGGCTATCGTTAATTGCCAATGATGTGGCGACCATATTTTGTAGCTCACACTCATCGCTGGGGGCCATGATTATCATGTTAGGAATGCAACCAATGTACGCAAGATCAAATGAGCCATGATGCGTTGGTCCGTCGTTTCCGACGAGTCCCGCGCGGTCCAGAATGAATCGTACAGGCAACTTTTGAATGGAAACGTCGTGAATGAGTTGATCGTAACCTCGTTGCAGGAAGGTTGAGTAGATGCAACAGAACGGCTTGTATCCCTCGCATGCCATGCCTCCAGCCATCGTCACTGCGGGTTGCTCAGCAATGCCGACATCGTGGCACCGCTTCAGAAAACGTTCCCCGAAAATATTTAAACCAGTGCCTCCGGGCATGGCCGCTGTAATGGCGACAACCTTGCGATCATGTTCGGCCTCAGCGATCAATGCTTTTGAAAAGACGGAGGTATAGCTGGGGGTCTGGGAGACACTCTTATGCTGCTTCCTGGTGCCGACGTCAAAACGGGCGACACCGTGGTATTTGTCTAGGGAAGCCTCCGCGGGGGGGTATCCCTTGCCCTTTTCAGTCTTGACATGGATCAAGACGGGTTTGTTGCCAGGCATGTCGCGGACGTTCTCGAGTACGGGAACAAGGGTATCAAGTTTGTGTCCATCAATGGGACCAACATAATAAAAACCAAGCTCCTCGAAAAGCGTACCTCCCTGCGCCATGATGCCCCTCGTATATTCGTCAAACTGCGCTGCGACGTCCTGGATCTCCTCTGGGAAGAGCTTGGAGAAGCTTTTGGCCATACCTCTCATATCCTGGAACGGCCTCGATGACATGAGGCGAGAAGTATAATCACTGAGAGCACCTGACGGACGAACGCCGGCGACCGTTTTGGTGCCTGTGGGCAGAGATACTTGGTCGTTATCGTTAAGAATGACAATCATATGGTTGAAACATTACCGTCTTCGGCCGGGGTTTCTCTTTCACTACATCCACGATGTACATCATACATGCGTCATAAAACACATCAAAAATATATTTTTTTATATATGGATGAAGGAAGTATTTTGCCACATCGCTACCTTTTTCCTGTCCAGACGGACCCAAAACTGTGACCGAAAACACGAATGGGTTTTCACCACCTTTTTGATTCTGACGCTCTGCGCGACTTTTGCGACGTCGTACACGGCGTCTCCCGCGAGCGTGAGGGCATCTCTCTGTGCGCCGCGCATGTCGATGAGGGCGATGCCGCCGTGCACGCGGGCGAGGACGTTGATGGGGACGGGGTCGCCGTGGATGACGCGGGCGGCGCGGCCGCGGCGGCCACGCGCGTACGCGCGGAGGAGGGGGAGCAGGGCGTCGAAGTGGGCGGCGGGGAGCCCGGCAGCGAGGTCTCCAAAGCCACAAACCGGTCCATTTTCCGTTGCGTAAATTTGCAGTTTCCCTGTCATGGTGATTGAGAACGAATTCCGCCACCCAGTCACGTGCAAATCCACATCTCCAGAAATCATCTTCGGCTTGCGCGGTTCGGTAGGGAACCGATATTTTATCTCCCCATCAAAACTGGGCTTCGACAGTCGAGCTATGAAAACGGCAGCAGAGTACTCCGATTCTCAGTATCCGCCAAGCTTGTAACCCGGGAAACCCATGTTCGTGTTTCCGCCAACGGTAATCAGAAAATCGCCGTCCTGGCTAAACACTAATCCGTTCACTGAGTGGTCATGATTGGAGACAGGAATGCCACTGACGATTCGCTTGTCGTACACCAAGCAGACGCCTGAGTCTGTTGGATCAGTGCCCGGCTTCAAACGGCCAACGGCTTCATTCGAACATATGTCCTTGATGCTCCGATCTACACGTTCCCGCTCATTCCAGAATATCGTACTTGTCGATGCGTATGGTTTCATCTCCTTGTCACGCGGATCGAATGTTATGGCGAGAATATCCCGGGCAGCAGGAATACTGTTTTTTGTGTACTTAGCATCTTTCAATGCTTTAGAGTGACATTGTGATGTCATCTTAAGAGTATCCACGTCGTACTCCACCAATTGGACGGTGCCACCCAGAGTACCAAGGTAGATATTCCCATCTTGTCCAATCGCAACAGAAGGAGGCAGCTCAAGGGTGTCCAACAGACTGCCATTCGCTTTCTTCAGTGCCGTCGTAGTGAATCCAATGGAATCACATGACTGAGTGGAGGTGGGGTGGATCGGTGTGTGCGATGTCGCGGGAGTACTTTTAGCGATTCGCTCGGAAGTGTTGCGTGCCGGAAATACGTAGGGAAGCTTATTTACGGTAGTTATTGCATGCGCGCGTAAAGATTGGCGTCAGCAACAAGGCGGAAGACCAGGTTGATGCGAGGCTCGAGCTCGCGCTGTCTTCTCTGTCGTCGACGACCACGTTGCGCATAGGTTACTTGAAAGTCAGAATCGGATACTTCTCACTTCATCAAATCTGCCACCGCCTTGGCACAGCTTCCGTCAACTGCCCGGGGAAGGGGCCCTGTCAATGTTAGTTTACGAGTCAGTTTACGCACTTGAAGCGCATCGCTTCCTCTGACCTCTGGCCCTCTACGCAACCCGTCAACCAGCGCAAGAAGCGCAAGCAGCAAAGTGGTATTGCTTTGCTGCACGTGACTTGCCCACCATCTTCTCGTCTCAACCAATACCAAGTTGACTGCCGAGCTCCAAATTCCACCCCCTCGCCTCCAACCTCCATCTAAACTATGGACTTGGACGCAAGTTGCGTGCAGAGTGAGTGCACTACGAAATGCGATGCAGCATGCAATGCACAGTGCACTCACCTCGCACTCCAGGTTACATAGCAATTTCGGAGTGCAGTATGAGTGCAGGACTATCATACACTCATGCCGCGCTCTGGGTGCACTCCAAGTGCCACCAATAGGAAGTTGTGTGGCCAACAGCGGCAACAATTCGCGTTCACAGTGCACTCAAATATGCTAAAAATCTCAAACTGCACTGTAGGTACACTCAAAAAATTTAATTTTTTTCTTCTAGGGTCCGGGGCTGGAGGGAAAACACTTCCGCGCGACCGGCTAGGCCTTGCCCTGCGCAAGCGGAAGCCGCCTAACGACATTGGTTGGCCATTCCGTACGGTTTGGGTGACGCGGGCTGCTCCGCTGCCCCTGCAGACCCGAATTTCCGCCCGGTCCTTCACGAGGACACAATACCGGAAAAAGGGCAACGTTTTTCCCTCTAGCAAATAGGGAAAAAATCGTAGCCCCAATCCGAGAACGGATTCGTCCTCTTGAGGTCGTTGCCGACCCGGGGGTGTCAAAACATGGGAGACCTCATTTGGAAACCAGAACGGTTTCTATTCGTTTCCTGCAGTTTCTTTCAGTTTCCAAACCAGAGTCACTGGGAAGTGGTCTACTGAGCGGTTCTTGCCTACCTTTCGGATGGCAGAGGCGCGTAGCCCACCGGGAGGGCGCGCGACGTACCGTGGCGGACTGTGCGGTGACGCCTCCGCAAATTTATGGAGGAAAACTATGAGGAGATCTTGGAAAAACGGCCAGCCTTTCGGGGGTGAAGTCGAAAGTGGGGATTTCTCCCGCTGTTTACGCGCCGCTATACCCCTCGCATAAGGCGAAAACCGCCCCACGGGGGTAGCCGGCAAACCGTATGGTCATGGGCGAAGCAGGCCACCCTACAGTACCCCCGGGACTGAGTTCTCTCTCAGTCGCCCGAGGGACTACTGTATGCAGTCAGGGCCGACAAGTTGCCCGCCATGAGGATAGGGAAAAATTGTAGCCCCCTCTCGAGGACTGCACCGCCCACAAGGTACCAGCCCGGGCATGGGGGTACCGGCGCCGTCAAACCGTCAAGGATAAACTCCCTGTGGGGAGCCCAGGAGCGGTGTGAACCGCAACCAAACGGGGTACAGACCCCGGATCCGCGCATGTGTGGCCCTCAGTGCACGGGCGGCGGTTTAAAAAAACCACCGATTTTGGGGAGCACCCAATGGGAGCTCGTCAAAAAAGCAAAACGCCGCACGGAAAATTCAGGCACGTTTTACTAAGAAAAACGCCGATTTTACCGCAAACCGTCGGTGGGGATGGGCATCTCGTGCTGCGCAGGGACGGGAAACCACCTCCACAGGACCGCGCCGCACCCACTGGGAGGTCATCCACCGCGGCCCGCGCAGTCGGAGGGGCACCGAGACCGACAGGAAAAATTCGGGGAGACCCGTGGGAGCCAGGAGAAGAGGAAGAGGAGACAAATTACCGTAACGGAGGGGGCTTCCGGTCGCTACCCTCACCGACCCGGTCGACCTTAATCGGGGTGCTGACGCTGGGCGGAGGGTTGAGACCCCGTGAGCGTCGCGGCCACAGGGTCGGTCTCAACCGCACGAAAGGACTATATCCTCGGACCCTGTGAGGGTGGCCGACGTTCGGGATTGACCGCCATGCGGGAGCGTTTCCGCAACCACCGCATGGTCCGTACGGAGACACCGTTGGCCAGAAAGCCCCCGGTTATCCGCTTGTGGGAGATAGTCTCCCGGCCTCGTCACTGAGCCTCCCACGGGGCTTTATGTACCGACGGGCGGAGCAAGCCGGAGCCCCCATATAGAAAAATATATATATATGGGAGGACGGCGGGGCCCGGGAGAGAAGGATACGCAGGACCGACGAGAGGACACGAAGGAGAAAGGAAGCACACCGTTTGTCGGCAGAGGGCCACGCTCAAGGGCCGGGAAAGCCGTATATCGGTTATGCGCCCGCGCCAGCTCCCAGGTACCTCGCTGGCTCATCCAGGTTGGGAGGCCGCGTTTCCGCGGCCGTCTCGTCAACCTGGGGACAGGGGACCGGAATGGACGTACCGCGGGTGGACCTTGGCTCCGCGGGAGCGCCGACAGCGTTGTTAATCTCGCCAGCGCCCCTCCTCTGCGCGGTTCGGAATATGACCGCCACCGCGGGTATGGATGCGGGTTTGAAGTTTCCAGGGAGGTAACCGCTGTACGGCCGCGTCTCCGCGGCCGCCCTGGTCTCCGTACCGGGTGGAAGGGCAGTCACAGCCGGCACGGGTTTTAGTCTACCGCGACGGGGACGTGTCGCGAAGTAAGGAAGGGGGTCTGTAGTACAATTGCGCGGAGGCGACGGTGCCACCGCTGCTTCCCCGGCGTACAGTGATCTCGGGTTTAAGCGCCAGCACAACCCTAAGGAGTTGTATTTACAGCTGGTGGCCGGTGCGGAGAACAGTAATACTCCACCGGCTACCCGTGTGTAATCCGTACGGTCATAAGTAGTAATTAGTAGTTAATAGCACAAATTTATTAATTGTGTACAGTAGCTGGTATACAGTAAGTAACAGCTACTGTAGCGGGACAGGTGTCCTGGCGTCCCACTTAGGGGTTAAGACCGGGGGCACCTGCCCCGTCCCAGTAAAGAGGAGGTAGACTCGCCTCCCTTCCCTTTACGGCTAAGTGCTAACACCGTTCCGGTTTTCCTTTAGCTCGGGCTTCTAACCCGTGACCGGCCGTCCGCGTATAACACCACCGACCGGCTGCGCGTCACCGGCCACGTGAGCCTTCCCTCTTTTCGAGTCCATTCGTACGGTTTTTATCCGCGCGTGGGTAACCCAGCGTCGCGTGCTCCCTCACCTCTAACTCCCCTCGTTCCGAGTGGTCGCGACGAAGGTAGTTATACCACATACGGAGCCATCGGTCGCGGTGCATCACTTGGGAGCGTTTAATGCTGCTTTTACAAGGGGGTTTGAGGCCAGTGCCGGACGCGTTTGTAGCCGCTGACAGAGGATACAATTCAAAAGAAAGCATTGCTTTTGTGTCAAATGTTCTTGGTGCGAGCCTCATTGGCACGCACAAACGTGACCTATGGTTCCATACGTCTTCGGTGACGGACCAATATCTCGTCGCCATCGTGGGATGGTCGTATCGGAAAAGGGTTGTAGGGCTGTGTACTTAGCTC